TTCAATAAGCAATCCTGAAAAATATTTGGGGGTGCTTAACTTTTTTCCAGGTGTATATAATCAAAGACTATGCGAATAGCGCTTTGAGTTTTAATAGGGATAAATCAATGACACGCTAACAATAAAAGTTTCGTAGATCTCCTTTATGTTGACCCTCAAGTTATAATCTTCGAGTTGCTTTGTAGTTGTTCGTTTTGTGCTACTGTTGTAGTTGCACGATCCAACATAAACATATGCTACAGGTTTGAATGTAATAGGCGAAGGTTGAGGCTAGCGTTAAGTTACCACCACCCCTTTTAATTCTTACATAACATTTGACAGTAATAGTACGAACGTTGCTTCAGAAGGCACAAAAATAGCACAATCAAACAACTGTAAAGCATCTGAAAAGCTCAAAGATCATAGCTTGATGGACCCAACTTAACCGACCTGCTTCCATAGCTGATTTTTAAGAGGCTCATTCTGCACTATGATCCTTTAGAGATGTTAGACAAATAACTTTCTGACAGCTAAAAGACGGGAGTTCAACGAGGGAAAGGTTAAAATAACAAAAAGAAAGAGATGAATACCACACACACACACTTCGTTATATTACATGTCACTTTCGTGTGGCTTCGGCCTCACATAGTTTGCTACCGATCTTATCGCTCAGTGAGCCCTCATTAGCAGCATTTAGACAATAAGATTGAAGTGACTTCCAAATTCGAACTGTTTGTGCAATTGATTACCTACTTAAAGAAAACCTCTAAGGGACCAATAAGAGTTCATCAATCAAATGTAGTCGAAGCAGATTCAGCTAATAACTCACAATAACTTGGTATACTGGGCCATCAGGGTATTTTCTTTCCTGAAATATGTACAACTGGTATTAGAAATGTGTTTAACTTTAAGAATATAATGCTTATTTTTCTTATGGGTCCAGACTTCTGGGACACCCTGTATAGAGCAGTGGTTCTCAAATTGTTCTTCTGCGGACCATTTCGTCGAGGCAAAAGACCCAACGGACCACTCATTTTCGCTTGCCACCACAAAACAACAACAACTCATTAGTGACTTACATTTTGAACCAGCCCGCGAGCTACCTGGAGGACCCTCGCGATCCATTAGTGATCTGTAGACTATACCATAAGAACAACTGATATAAACTATTATGTGCGAAGCTTACCTTTCTAGCTATTTTATTTTTCTGTCATAACTGCAAGTTTTACCATTGTGTTACATATGAGTTGTATTCGCACCTTAAAATATGTTTGTTTGTAATTAAGCACAAAGCTACACAAAGGGCTATCTGTGCTCTGTCCACCACGGGTATCGAAACCCGGATTCTAGCGTTGTAAGACCGCAGAGATACCCCTGTACTTTTAAAATATGAAAAATTATTATTTTATAATACTCGTAAAATGTTATAAGATAGGAAAAACTACAGTGATAAAATACAGGATTTTCTTAAATTGGTAGTAATGTTTGTGATCTTTTTTGACAAATAAAACTCAATAAATGTGCTAGGAGCTTTATAGACATAACTTTAATGTTATTAAATCAAGCTCAAGGCTGCTTTAAACAGATTTTAAAATCACTCATGTTAGCTCTGATTTTAAACCTTTTTTGATTTTCACTATGAATCTTTTATATAAAAAAAATCGTAATAAGCCTGTTTTTTCTGGTAAAACCAGTTTTCATGAATCCTTGATCTAAATAAAAAAATCCTTGAGCCACTCAAGAGAGCTTGCAACTCAAATGTTTTACGAGTTTGACACACTAGCATATTCAAGGAAATGAAATAAGCAATTGATCTTATAATGCACATATGTACGTACAATAGGTTTGTTAATAGCCTAGCTAGTCTTTCTCATGCATCAAAAAATGCACAGAAAACGTTTATAGGCTTATAATTGCTATTTAATTTGTATAAAAAATATTATTTGTGG